CACTGGAAGAAGAGACAGTACTGTCTCAATGTGATCTCCTGGCTAAATAAAGGAAAATAATAAAACTATTATGTCTAGAAAAGACATAGGGGGGGGGGGTAATAGTTGTGACTTCAACTGTTTATGAGCACTTTAAGTTTGCACATTAAATAACAAACCTGTTGTTGCATCCATGTTGTAATATGGTGATTTTACATAAAACTATGGCTGTTTAAACTGACGTGAATTACATTCAGTTTATTTTCGGCTTAGACCCTTTATTAATCTTGGGTCACCACAGCACAATTAACCGCCAACTTATTCAGCATATGTTTTACACAGCGGATGCCCTTCCAGCTGCAACCCATCACTGGGAAACATCCATACACTCATTCACTTCGGACAATTTAGCCTAACCGGGATACCAGAGCACCTGGAAACCCACACAAACAGGGGGAGAACATGCAAACTCCACATCGAAATGCCACTGACCCAGCCCAGGACTCAAACCAATGACCTTCTTGCTTGTGAGGGAAACATGCTACCCACTATGCCATCCTGCAGCCTTCACTACTTTATTGTATACTTTAAAGCAGACATGCCCAAACTAGGGCCCAAGTTGGCCCATGGTAACCTTTGATTTGGCCCGCCGTCCCATCTGAGAAGAGAGGACAAATGTTGGGGATGGTTTAGGGATTGTCATTTGAAATCTAATGTAATCGTTTTGTGTTTGTTTTATAGTTAAAAGCTAATTAATTTTAATTAATATCTATTAATAAATAAATTAAATTATTTTTTTATTAAATGGGTTTAATTAATGAGATTTTGTGTAAATGTACATACTGTCACCAACAGACTGGTGAGCAAATCAAGGCAAAGGCAGATTCTGCTGACTAGTGTACTCAGCATTGAACTCTACTGTGTTTTTGACCTTATTCTAAAATGCGGAAGTGCGCATGTTTTCGCGTCGCGATTGTTTTAGAACTTCCGATTCAGTCGCCTATGGGAGAAGTGATTAGGAATAATAAACGACAAAAAACGGTCAGACTACTTGCTCTACAAACAAATGTTTGCATGACAATACAGATCAAGTAGAACAATATAATAAGAAAACCTCAGTTTGCATCAAACTGCAAAACGAGCAGTTTTTTAATGTCTAAAAATGAATGAGACCGGAAGTCTCGAGCCAAAAAGATTCAAATGGCTGCGCCCGCTCGGAGAATAAGGTGAATTAATGTGGCTGTTTCTGTTTTTATTGCATTACGTTAAATGTTTTAAATGTTTTACTGCATTAGTTAATACGATTTGAAGTAATGTTTTCTATTTATTTTTGAATATTGTAAAATAAATTGAAATTACCCATGGCAAATGTAATGCAATACAGTTTGGTATATTTACCTTCGGCCCACGCCTCTCAGTGATATTTGGTTTTTGGCCTTATACTAAAAAGTTTGGGCACCCCTGTGTAAAAGAGTATAATCAAGAAGTCAGTTTGTTTGTTACAAGTATAAATATAAACATGAAGTTTTATCCTAAAAGTTGCCTTAACTAATTAGATTTTAATAGTAGACAGGAAGGCAACACGGGGGCTCAGTATTTAGCACTGTCACCTCACAGCAAGAAGGTTGCTGGTTTGAGCCTTGGCAGTTGACATTTCTGTGTGGAGTTTGCACTATAGGTATATTGAATAAACTGGCTGGAAGCAGGAAGGGCATCTGCTGTGTGAAACATATTCTGGATAAGTTGGCGTTCATTGAGCTGTGGTGACCCCGGATGAATAAAGGAATTAAGGTGACGGAAAATGAATAACTAATTAATTTATAAATTTGTTAAATTATCAATTAATAAAACATGAAAAAAGCTCAGTTTTGCAATTAACTAAACCAAAGATTCATTTTCCAAATGTAGGAAAAATCTTTATCAATATTCTAGAAATTACAAAAAAAGAGAAAAGTATTTTCACAGCAGATA